GACATCCTAGGCATGGCAACATGCAGTGTCTGTCCAGGGCAGCAGCGCTAGGCAGGAGGTGGTGAACCCAGCATAAAGATAAAGCTGCAGAGTGGCATATGCAGAGCATGGACAGAGATTCCCAGGGCTGGGAAGTCTTTGGACCTCCCAAAGGCATGCAAAGACCTTTGCACCTCCTAAAGCAAAGCCAAGAGAGCCTCAGACGCTCAGCTACAGGCACGGATAACAGAGAGATGGGAGCCGCATTCCACTCTCCAGCCCGTGGCAGGTATTGGGAAGGGCATCCCTCCGCTCCTGGCAGAAGCATGGTGCCTCGCTGCCACCAGGGGAGATGCCAGGAGCCTGTAAGTCTTGTCCTGCTTCCCTAAACTATCCCAGAGGAAAGCGGTTGAGGTCCAGGGGGCTCGGCAAGGCACAGGCTGGCTCCCCACATGGCTGTCCTCTGCCACATGCAGATTTCCCGCTGCCATCCCCGTGCCACATGGGCTGGCAGGATGCAGCCAGTGCCATAGCAGGCAGCAGACTGGGTGGCTGGAAACGCATCTCTGGCAGGGAAAACCCCTGCCCTCCTCCCAAAGGGGATACAACAGCCAGGTGCCACTGAGTGCCATGGTGGCTGCGTTTCGCAGAGCCCCCACCTCAGTCCTGGGGGCCACTCGTAGCCCCACGGGCTCACTCCAGCCTCCAGCAGCAAACGGTGCTCAGCAGGATCAAGGTTGAGGGCCTCAGGTTTCACTGTGGGGTCTGCACCCCGTGGCCATTCCCCAGCAGGATGGGACCCAGTAGCTGCTCAGACCATACCCATGAACTAAGGGCTGGCTCCCCCGGCCCCCTCCCATCCCCCACCCCGCACAAACAAAAGCAGAAAAAACGTGGGGGACGAGGAGGAGGAGGAGGAGGAGGAGGGGCCAGCCCTCCCCGACCAAGTCCTAGTTTGGAGAGTGAGCACTCGGCTTCTCCCTCCGCCTCCTCTCTGTGCTGCAAACCCTGACAGCGCTCGTTAAAATAACCAACAGCACTTCCTCTCCGAGCAGCACCGAGGCCGGCTCGCCCCCGGCCGGAGGCACATGCACCAGAGGGGGCCCAGAAAGAGAGGGGGTCCCCCCCAGCACCCAAGTAAAACTAGGGGATGCCACCGCTTCACTCGAAGCGGCAAGAGGAGGATAAGGGGAGGAACCCACCGAGGTGGTGAGTCTCTCCTGACTCCTTGGGACTTCGATAAAGGGGTTTGCACAGCTGATCAGAGCCGAGCCGCCTGCCAGTGGCTCGTCCAGGCAGGCTCCGCAGATGTCTCAGAAGCTTTTGCCTCCTCTCACTGCTGCAAAACCCCCGCCCCGGGACCTCTCACAGCCAGGCTGGGGACTTCCCCGTCACGCTTCACCAGTACCCCGGTTCCCCCAGCCGCCCCCAGGGAGCTGCTCCCAACCAAACACATCCCAGCTCCCTTTTGGGGCCATGAAACCCATCTCCACTTCGGCCTTTGCAGAGAGGGGGGGTCACGCCGAAGGCCGGCTGTATCCCTGATGCCCTTGCGGGATGAGTCACTGGCTATTGTTATTTCGGTCATTCACCCAGCAATGGGGGCCGATAGCCACACACGCAGCTGTAGTGAGTCA